CTATCAGCGAAAGCGTTTGCTATCGATTCCCAGGTAGAGGTTTTCTCCTTGTCAAGGGAGAAGAACCATTGTTGGAAAACGGTTTCAAGAGATAGTGGGAACAAAGAGGGGAAAACCTTCTTATCGATACTCTTAATGGTCATTATAGTTTCAAAAGCTCTTAGATGGAAGTAAGGATTATCTGTTGCCTTGAATTTTGGGATGTCGTTGGCATTGAACTTCTGCGGAAGAAGATCTTTGTCCACCGAGACCCCTTGTGATGTAAGCTCTTGAAATTTGTAATCGCTAGACAACTTGCTTAGGCTCTCTTGCATAAGGTCCATCTGTTGTAGCTTCACGGGATCATCAACCTTGAGGGTGAGTAGCTTCAGTGTTTCAGTCATGGTAACCAATTGGTTCCTAAGCTCATTGACTTCTTGTTGAGTTGCCATTATCTTCTTAGCCTTCCTCTTTTGACGAATCAACTTATCAAAAAGCGAGACTTGAATAAAGAGGTTGTCCTTGATTAATCGCCCTTCTCTCCTCGACCAAGTACTGTGGAAAAGGAATTTGGGGATACTTATTGTTAATTATTTGACACAAACTTTATTCAACATGCAATGGATGGAGGAGGTGAAGAACAATGGAAGAATGTGAAGAAAGATTTAGATGGAGGGATATGAAGGATTAGGAGTAGAATGTACCCCAACTCAAATGACGGAAAATACCGACTTATGCACGAACCTAAGACATGGCCATGGTGATGTGTACTCAAAGTGTGTGCTAAGACTAGTGAGTGTAGGTGACATTTTGAGACTCGTGTCATGACCATGTGGCTAGACTATGTGACCAAGACTCGATTAATGACCTGACAAGGTGTTATTGACATCAGGAATTGACCGAATTAATTAGCAAACTAGTTAATTAGACCCTAGGTGATGACTCGACCAATAATCCGAACTGTCGGCCAAGCGACAGGACTGGCGTCACAATATGGTGGTTGGCGCCAGACTTTTTAGTAAATGTCTGGCGCTACACTCCATACAGCGGCGCTACAGCCCAAATTTTGGCACCAACATTGGAGCCTCGGTCTGGGACTGTTTTCGATATTATTAGTCAACTAGGGTATGCCTAAAGTCGTACTAGGCCAGTTCCGATTAAAAGAAGAAAAACTTTATTGACTCGAATTAATTAATTAATTAGGCAAAGTTCTTTAAGTCATTAATTATAATCTCGACTCAAATCAACAAACGGTTAGGAGGAGCATAGAATATATATGCACAACAACACAATTAGGCAAGTAAGCACAATATGATGCAATGAGTTCGCAACCTGACCATGGCTCTAGTTCTCTAAAGTTCGGGATATGGTTTAGTCAAACAGGGTCCATGGTTAATTGTTCAGATGCACCGCGTAGAAGCCTAACCGTGAAGGGTTAACGCGTGTGGATAGAACACCACGAGTTTTTTTAGAAAAAACTCACTTCCATGGTTTGGTGAATTCAACATCTCAGATGTAACCTTTGTTGCCAGGAGCGTTCAATCGGGTAGATAGAGCATGGATTCCCAGAGGGTTATGTCCATATGTAGAACACATATGGGTTTCAGAAAAATAAGAAAAAATTCAATTAGGAAGTAGGATCGAGCAAACAATACGAAAAACCGGTCGAAATTAGAACGCATATTTCTGGCTCGGTATTGGGGGAAATTGGCGCTAGCAAACAGAGACTGGCGCCAACTTTTAACTACAGCGCCTGGCGCCAATTCTGGCGTCTGGCGCTATGGAAAAAAGTGTGGCGCCAAGCTCTGGCCCCTGACGCTACTTCCCACATGCCTCAGCAGCTTTCGGTGCTCAATAAAATCATCCAGTTTCGCGCGGTGTTATTTCAGTCCTAGTTGTGAAAGACGTTTCTCAAATTTCCTACGTGTAAAATCCTATGTTTTTGACTCATTACGGATTGTCTTTCCAATGAGAACCTTTTTATTCATATGACAATAATGTTAATCAAAATTACACACATGAAATACTTAGAACTTTTCGAGTCTCATCCACTCATTCTAAATCATTGCCGAAACAAATTCAGGAATTAAAATAGAAATCCTCCCCAGTGGAGTCGCCAAAAACTGTAGGGAATAGTTTCAAGCCTTTAAAAATCCCACTAACTTGAACCCCACTGTGATCATACACTAAAGTACGGTGGCGTCCAAAAGGGAAGAAGATAGAGCAAAAGAGTCGCCAACAAGTTTTTAAGGAACTTGTAAACCGTTCAAGAGGTGAAGGTTACACCCCTTAACGATCCAAGAGATCGTCAACTCCATAAGGTCATGAACCAAATAAGGGTTCGGGTATGAAGGTACAAATCCAACCTAAAACAGATTGAACCTGCCCTAATAATAGGCCTCTACTTTATTCTGCTTGTATTCATGTGCGCTTTCTGATTAACATGCAATCAATAGATTTAACCCTAAACCTGTTTAATCTATGTTGGTTGAATTTAATGCACAAATAAAACTATTATTGGCGATCACTTGAATTTATAATCACAATTAACCTAACAAGATTATTAATAATCTTATTAAGCGTGGTTGCAAATACCAATTCCCTTTAACCTGCAATAAAAGGTGATCAAGCAATAACAATATACAATAATATGCATATCAAGAAACATAATAAATAATCATCATAAATCATAATCATAAATGTTAGAAAGAACATAGGAAGCATCATACTTTTAATCACGCTTATTATTAAAAACACCCTAGACATGATACTAGGAATATCATAATAACGATAAACATGATGTCTACATCATAAAATCAATTAATCAATAAAGTACTTACTTGGATGCCTCGTACCTCTTTCTAATTACAAAACACACACGTTAGTAACTTCAAGGAAAATAATAAACAAAGCAATTAAATAATAATTGAAAGAGAGATTTGGGACCAAACCCTCAGAAATTAAAATCTTTCACGTCTAGGGCGAAGGCAACTTCAAATATGGCTAGGTGTATCTAGATCTTGTGAATGCGGAATTTTGTGTAAAAAAGCAAGAAAGAAAGAATGCTAAAAGATTAACGTTATTGAGAATTGATGAAAGAAAGATGATGAATAAAGAGAATTGGATGAATTAGATGAATAATGAAGACTAAGGAAAATTGGTGAATGTTGGTGATTATTGATTGTAGATGGATGAAAACGAATTTTATTAAAACTTAAGAATAAAAGAAGTGGTGAATGATAAATGATAATCCGTCCTCCAAAACGGAGTTTTTGATACGATATTTATAAAGAAAATCAGCCAAAAAAGATAATTTATCAAAACAGAGTCTGAAGATCACAGAAACAACCTGGCGCCAGCCCTGGCTCATTGGCGCCAGGACCAGTGGCTAGCGCCAGGCACCAATGGCTGGCGTCTAGCGCCAATCCTGATTCCAGGCGCCAAGGCCTGGGGTTGGACGCCAAATTGGATTTCAACGCGTTTTCGAAAACCTGATAAAATTCTCGTACTGGAAGATAACATAATATAATTTCAGTCGAAAATGCTATTTGATCTTGATTAAAACTCTGAAGAATCCTAATTGAATTAAGAATGATAAAACCTTCTAGAACTTTCTAGAAGACTAAAACCATTCCTAATTACATTAGGAATGATAAATCATATTAGGCCCTCCCCTAGATCATTGGGCCGTACTTAAAACTCAAACCGGGCCCAGTTTAGTAAATTGACCATAATTTCCTCAATATTCATCGGAATTGGGCTTATAATATATTGTTGGAAAGGTCTTTGCAATCCCCCTCCAACTACACCACTATTGGACCCATATCATGGACCAACCAAACTGGATCAACTGTTTTCTTAAAATAAAGTTTTCAAAAACAGAGAGAAGAGAAAAGAAAAGAAAAGAAATAAAACTTTCCGCAACACTAGACCTTTCCACACTTTCGTTTCATTCGATTATGATTCGACATGAAAGGCACTCATCACTGGGTTTGGTTTTGGGGAGACACAAATGGGTGTCTACAGTAACAAATCATTTCTTTTCCGGACAACCTTCCTCCTTTCTTTAACACGCACCTCAGACCTCTCTCCCCTATTCAAAACCCCCAGCCTCTTTCTCTTTTTTCGTATCTCTCTAAAGATCATGCCAAATTCCTTATCACTCCACACTCTCAGCTCTGCCGCACACGTAGCAATTTTATTCTCAATAGAAGAACCCCCCTGCCAGGCGTTCGACACTACCCCTTCACACCCATCGTGCTCAGTCCAAAGTTGCTCAAACCGAAAAGGTTTCTCGCCCCCATTACCATTCGTATTTTCCTTCCCTTCAAGCCTAAGGATAATTGGAGCATGGTTGGACCACTCCCTTTCTAAGTGAAATAATTTTGCTCTGGGAAACAAGCCTATCCAAGATTGGATAGCAAGAGCACGATCAAGGCGGCACTGTATATTATCGACTCCAATTTTTCCATTGTCATAAGTGAACTCATACCCCAAAAAAGGAACATCAACCAGACTATAAAGATCGACAACCTCTCGAAAATTTTCCATTTGCCATAGAGCTCTATCCCTACCCCCCTTCTTCTCCGAATCAGAGAGAATTTCGTTAAAATCCCCAATGCAAGCCCAAGGACCATCCCATCCACTTGCCAATTCTAAAAGTAATTTCCAAGAGAGATATCTATTGTGTACTTCTGGCCAACCATAGAAACCTGAGAGTCTCCAAACATTCGGACCTAGCCCACTCTTAATCAACACATCCATATGGTGTATTGACATAGATCGTAACTCCACCTTTAGTTCCTTCTGCCACAACAAAGCAACTCCACTAGCCCTCCCACGACTACCCACAGCCAACCCCTCATAGCAAAAAAACTTCGATCGCACTTTAGCCATCTCACTACTACTCAACTTCGTCTCCATCAGAAAAATAAGAGACGGGGCCTCTCTTTGTACTAAGTTCCGGAGATTACTAACTGTAGAGGGGTTACCCAGCCCCCTACAGTTTATACTTAATATACTCATTGAGCTTGGCAGGAATGCTCATCGACAGTCTCCGCCCTTCGCCATCCAATTGAAGTGACCTCAGTCATCACCTTCTTAGCCACTGTCTCCGAATTCACCAATTCATCATCAACTTCTCTATGTCTTTTTCCCAGATTTTTATCTCTATCTATATCCATACTATTACCCCCACCTCCCCCCTTTTCTTTCAACCCTTTTTTCCACTTCTTTCCTGATAACTTTGTCGCCTTTCCACCTTCCCCAGCAACAAAAATTATAGTACTCTTCCCCTCACCCCCTATACTACTCCCCTCAGCATTCCCCTCACAAGTACTCACACCTTCGAGAAGCATCCCCCCCTCGACACCCTGCCTAACTCCTATCTGTGCCTGCTCCCTCACCTCCCCTGCTGATAGCAACTCTTCACTCTCCTCACTAGAGCTCAACTCCTTCAAATTTGTATCAAGATCACCCTTCTTTGCCACCACTTCACCACTTCCTTTCAACCCATCATCATCACGTGTGATAAACAGTTTTTTCCGGGCACCCAAGACAGCTTCTAACTCCTCCAAGTCCTTCATTCTACCCTTTCTCGGAGAGGCACGATGCCACCTTCCCCACCCCAACTTCAATTTTTTGCTTTCCTCGAAAATCATAACACAATCCCTTTCTGAGTGACCAATTACTCCGCACACATTGAAAAAGAACGGAAGACGCTCATACGCAAATTCGACAATAATCTCCTTCCCCTGTTTGTCTCGAATTCGCTGAAATCTTCTTAGAGGTTTTGTGATATTAATCATCACTCGGACCCTACGAAAGCGATCCAACCCTAAGGCATCCTCCTCAATTTCCATTAAATCCACTAAATTCATCACAATCTCCTTCACATCCTCATCAGTACGACAATTGAAGGGAAGGTGTTTGATGCGGACCCAAAAAGGTGAATGAAACAGAGAAATTTGTTCAGGTTGCTCATTACCTTCGATTTCCTTAAGCACAAGCAATATGTTATCGAAACACCAAGGTCTTCCAGTCAAAACTTTCTCCTTGTCTCTCCAATTAAAGAATTGGAAATCATATCGATTAGGGCTAAGAACCCTAATAATCAATTTGTCAGATAACGCCCACGATTTGGTCATAGTAGACTTAAAAGCTTAAACATTATACGGTCTATCAGTCACTAATTTCCCGATAAGCACTAGGTTAAATTTCTCCATAGATTGTTCGGATTCGACAGTACCCAAATCCACAATCCCACCTTCATCTTCTTCAAGTCTCAAATTCGCATATCTGGACACAATATCATCCGCCATCTCTAAAATCCGATTAGAAACGGCCGCAAACGGCAGGAAACAGCTAGCAAAACTGGCAGAAAGACTCTTCGTCGCGAGAGAGAGCGGCCCTTTCTTTCGAGGGAGTTTTTTATTATGTTAGTTTCTAATTTTAATGAGCAACTTACTCCTTCTTCTTTCTGCATCTTTATATCTTCTTTTTCTTCCATTTTTTTTGTTAAATTTTTGTTCCTTCTATACAGAATCTCTCTCTCTCTCTCTCTCTCTCTCTCTCTCTCTCTCTCTCTCTCTCTCTCTCTCTCTCTCTTTATTTAAAAAAAAATTTGATCTCTTTTTATTTCTTTCTCGATTTTAATTCATTCTTTTTTTTTTCAAATTCTTATATTCTCTCTCCTCTATTCTTTGGATTTTTTTATTAATTTTCTGCATTTAATGTGATGGAAATTGTTGATATTCCTGAATAGATAATTCCAAGTTAGTTATTATGAATTCACTGTGATCAATATTAATTAATTTTTCTATTCAAAAAAATATATATTAATTAATTTTTTGATTTTGCAATGAATTTGTGGATGAAATTATTGTTTAATATCAATTGAATTTGTTGCAACTAATCTGATCGATTTCAATCATAATCTATTACGATCGATTAATTGATATTATTTATTGTTATCATTAATTTGATCGATTAATTTAGTAAAAAAAAATTAGACATTGTAAATCTTGAACATTTAGTAAAAAAAATATGAACGATTGCAAATTTTGAACATTTAGTAAAAAGATTCCAAACCGGACATCGAAAATTTTGAACATTTAGTAAAAATATATGAACAATCGCAATGCAACACGTCTATACTTTTGAACATTTAGTAAAAAAAAACTGAACGATTGCAAATTTTGAACATTTAGTAAAAAAAAAATCTAGACTGAACATCGAAAATTTTGAAAATTTAATAAAAATATCTGAACAATCACAATGTACCTATACTTTTGAACATTTAGTAAAAAAAATATGAACGATTGCAAATTTTGAACATTTAGTAAAAAAAATCCGAACTGAACATTAAATTTTTTGAACATTTAGTAAAAGTATCTGAACAATCGCAATGTATCACGCCTATACTTTTGAACATTTAGTAAAAAAATATGAACAACTGCAAATTTTGAACATTTAGTAAAAAAAAATATGAACTAAACATCAAAAAATTTGACTATTTAGTAAAAGTATCTGAACAATCGCATTATACCACACCTATACTTTTAAACATTTAGTAAAAAAATTTGAACAATTGCAAATTTTGAACATTTGGTAAAAAAAAAATCCAAACCGAACATCGGAAATTTTCAACATTTAGTAAAAAAAACCTGAAAAATCGCAATGTACCACGCCTATACTTTTGAATATTTAGTAAAAAATTTGAACGATTGCATATTTTGAACATTTAATAAAAAAATCCGAATATCGTAAATTTTGAACATTTAGCAAAAATATCAGAACAATTGCAATGTACCACGGCTTTACTTTTGAATATTTAATAAAAAAAATCTAAACAATTTCAAATTTTGAATTTTTAGTAAAAAAAATATGAACATCGCAAATTTTTAACATTTGGTAAATATATCCGAACAATTGCAAGGCACCATTGCATGCCTTGAAATTAATCGGATTAGCTTCAACAATTCATCTTCATCATTACTTGTAGAATAATTTGTTGAAAAAATGTGAAAAATGTTTAGAAATCATACACAAATTACCAAAATTTAAATAATTTTAACAAATTACAACAAGTTTGAAGAAAATCAATTAACGAATTTAAAGAAATCTAAAGAAATTTTAAGTTGTTCAAATATTTAATTACCTTTCTGGACCTTTTTCTTGTTTTCTTCCATGGTGATTCGTCAATTGCAGAGGAGATAGACAAGTATTGAGCAATTGCAAAATGAAAGTAATTGCAGAGGAGAGATATGTTTGTTGGAGCAAAAAAAAAAAAAAAAAAAATAATAAATTGAAGAAATTTTGAGAGTGTTTGGGCCGCGAGATTTGAGGTTTGTAGTGTATATGGGCCAGTGGTCCATCTACTCTAGAAGGACCAGGGTTTACAATAGACTTATTAGGGGATTTAGCGGATTTGGGCTATTGGGTTTGGACTTACTAATGTTATATGGGTTGAGGTTTATATTATTATTATTATTATTATTATTATTATTATTATTATTATTATTATTATTATTAATTATTATTATTATTATTATTATTATTATTATTATCATTAATTTTTTATTATTATTATTATTATTATTATTATTATTTTAAGCGGATTGGGTATAAAGGTTGGATTATTTAAAAATAATCAATAGGTAGGATTATTTTGAGCGGATGAGCCAAAGGTCGGATTAATCCGGGCAATTTTTCCTTATTATTATTATTATTATTATTATTATTATTATTATTATTATTATTATTATTATTATTATTATTATTATTATTATTATTATTATTATTATTATTATTATTATTATTATTATTATTATTATTATTATTATTAGTTCGGACTATCTGGACTGGACTTTTTGGACTTAAACAATTAGAGTCCAAATCCAATCCAAATAAAATAAAGTCCAATCCGAATAGCTTATTTGGACTGGATTAGATTGGATTTCGGACTAGACTCCGAATAATGGACACCCCTAAGTGCGGCGGCCAGAGATTTAGAGAAGAGTGAAGTCGCTAAGAGGATGGCTACTTGCCTATGCTTTTTAATTTTATCTATGTGAAAAATAAAAGAGAAAGAGAGGCCCTAAGGATAGGGGGAAAACAGATAAAATTAAAAAGAAAAAAAAAACTAAGAATGCATCTTTGTACTCAAACCCGGGACCTTCTGTTTAAAAATTACTAACTTATCCAACTGAGCTGCGCGCCTAACATTGTATATATTTGTTTTGAAAATTCTTTATTAGCTACACATTATAAAATATACAATAATATAATGTGTTTCTATTTTTTTTAGTAAAACTCCCATTTTAAAGTAAAACTAAGAATGCATTTGTATTTTTTTTTGTAAGTAAAACTCCCATCTTTTTTCCGGATCTAATAACGGGGTTCAGTTGAACCCCCTAACCTCGTTGGATCCGCCCCTGGACTTGATCACCTCTAAATTAGTTGCACATTATAAATGATACAATAATATATTATTAAACATCAACTTTTGTTTGCGGCTAACACACACCAAGTAAACTTTGATCAAAGAATAACCTCTAATCGTGTAACCCCTAATCTACTAAGTAATCCCTGATCGACCGAGTAACCCTTGATCAAGTAACCCATGACCAACTTAGTATCCTATAACCACTACTAGAAATAGGCTAAATAGCGACGGATCGGTTCCGACGGACCTATCTTTCCGTCGCAAGTTTTCGACGGATTTCAATTGTTTCGACGGAAATATTTTCCGTCGTAATTTCCTTTTTTCGACGGAATATTTCATCGAAAATAGGTTTACGACGGAATATTCTGTCGGGAAAAGGAATTACGACGGAAAATATTACGTCGGAAAAACTTGTTTTTTTTTTTAAAATTACCCAACTTCATTTACCCTAACAAAAAAGGGGGAAATAGTCGTTGCAACTCAGGACCGCACAGAAGAAAGAGAAGGAGAGAAAGAGAGAGGGAAAGAGGAAAAGGGGACCACTCATCCGCCCGCCTCCGGTCACGCGTTCGCCGCCGTCCGTCACGCATCCGCCGCCGACGAAGACCCACACAGCGTCGACTATGTAAGGGAGAAAGAGGACGAGAAGGAGAAAGAGAAATACAACGGCGGTTTCCCGTCGAGCCTCCGTTGACGGTGCTTGTTGCCGGCGCCGCGTCTAGGTAAGTTTATAATTTTTTTTTTGGTTTTCGTTTTCGTTTTCGTTTTTGTTTTGTTTTTTTAATTACTTTCAAATCTGACTTTTAGACCACCACAACCGCAGCCTCCGGCCTCCGCCTCCGGCCTCCGCCTCCTCCCTTCCCTCGCCGTAGCTGCTTGTTGTTGTTGGCGCCGCGTCTAGGTTAGTTTCCCCCACTTTGTTTTTTTTTTTTTTTTTTTTTTTTTTGTTTAAAATTAAACCCTTATTTTTTTAATTTATTTTTTTTAATATTTTGTAGGATTTGTACAATTAGATGGTTTAATTGTCAAAAAGAAGTGCAGATCTAAAGGTTAGTCACATTACAAACCCTAATATAATGTATTTACGTTAATTTGGTTTGGTTTTGTTTAACATAACTTAGTTTAGTTAAGTTTATTCTAATATAATGTGTTTTAGTTTAGTTTAGTTACGTTTTTTTTTGTAAGTATGTTAGTTTAGTTTACTTTTTTGTAAGTATGTTAGTTTAGTTTAGTTTATTTTAATATAATGTGGTTTAATTTAGTTTAGTTTTACTAATGTATATTAGATTAGTTTAATATTATGAAACTTTAGGTACGTTTTGTTCATTTTGTTTAATATGATGTATGTTAGATTACTTTAGTTCATTATAATCTAGTTTAGTTTTGTTTAGTTTAATATAATGTTTCTTACTTAAGTTTAATTTTTTATAATGCATGTTACTATATTTAATATTATGATATGTTAGTTTAGTTAGGTTTTGTTTGGTTTGATTTGTTTATATTAATGTTATGGTTTTATGATATGTTTGTTTATGTTAAGTTTAATTATGATATATTTGTATAATTTTTTGTATGTTAGTTTAGTTTTAATATCTTTAAATAAATCATTTGCATAATCATACGCCTAGATACCCGTTCAAGGCATACACATTAGGAGTATGTCTTGAATAGTCCCCGGTTGGGACTGTCCTTGTACGTTTA